GGGGGGAGCAAAAGGGGGGATTTCGGCCAAGCATATTCGGGTGAACCCCTCTTGATACCTATGAGCCAGGCACAGAGACACTATCCGGTAGGAATAGATGCATGTCAGTACACGTACGGAGGCAAAATTATACACAGCCTGTGTGGATTTGCGTGAAGTTGTATGATTCCTCGAGCACGTCACGTGCCGACACAAAAAAAACGAGCTATCGCCATTTTCATCAAAGTACGTCGGTCAAGAACAGACTGATGGCTGTAGGAGTGTAGCTTGGCTCACCGCTACTAGCACGCGCTTCCCGCTCCTCACGACCGGCGCTATCTCCTCCTCCCAGTACCCCACCACGCGGCGGGACACATCCTTCATGCACTCCGTCCGGGGTATCGCGCAGGCTCCATCTTCGTCGACGACGTGTTGGTACCTGCAAACATCACACACGCACCAGTGAGGTGGGAAAGGGTGCGGAACGGCCAAAGGGAGGAGTTCAAAAGAAAAAACGGGGCGACAAAGAAGGGACCCCAAGAAAGCTCACCACGGGAGCAAGGACATGTGCTGCACAGACTGCGCTGTTGCACCGCTGCAAGTGGTACGCACACTACTTTGACAGAAGAAAATCGCACGGGCGAGAGGTATGCTGAAGCTACAGTAGCGACGAACCCAACGGAGTGAGAGAGAGGGCAACCAACTTCCGGGCAATGATGCCAGCACAGGAGTATACACCCCAGACACTGCGAATACTCTGAATACGGATAATGGACGCTGTCGTGCAATCTCTTCCGCTGTCCTCCTGTCCGGGGGCTCCGCTGACTAGAAAGCGAGGTCCCGTTTCTTGTCCCGCTACAGATCGATGTTCATTGGTCAACCGGTATCGCAGTCAACCCGGTACAAAGAAAACACGTACACACACGCAACGTGCTACCCTCAGAACCTGGCACATAGCGCGCGGTCTACGCTGTGGTAAGGGGCGTTTCATGCAGCAACTATTTCGCCTCCAATTTTTCAAATTCGACTTTCAGATTTCCATTTTTTTCGTTTTTTTTAAATCAACTCGTTCCAAATTCGGTGTCAGTCGATTCCAAATTTCCAAATTTCCGAGTCTATTTCCTGGGCGGAATCGAGGCTCTATGGTTTACGGATTTGGCAATTTGGAAATGCATACGACTGTAGATTCTGTACAAAACCGCCCCTTTTAAGGAGAAACGCCTCGCACAGCCACACACCGTCGGTCGTCCTTGGGGTAGTAAAGCCCGTCCGTGCTCATGGGATGCGGGGCAACATCATAGCTCGACGCCCAGAGCGCCACATTCTCCTTGCCGAAAGCCTCCTCCGCCTCCGGTTTTGTCTTACCTGTTACGTCCACGCAGCGTACATATCGTCACGGAGGCGTCCGTCGTGGCATTTTAGTACCGAATAACTGAAAAAGTCTTGCGTGGGGACGTTATCAGTCACTGCCTGTTCCGTGTTTTCTGCTATCGCTCCGTTGGTCGACGTGACTGGTTGGTGGACGTAAACTGCTGTCGTCACTCTTGGGAGTTGAGTAATCCCACTTAGTCAGAGTTCGTGGTACAGGATCCAGAGACACTGATTTATGCGATGCCGTCAGCTTTCTTGGCAAGAACCTGGGTCAATGTGCCACCACATGAGAGATTTTCCGCCCAGCGGTGCGACTGCTTGTGCCTTCTGCAGTTGAAACTACAACCATTAACGCTTCGACGCCAAGCCACCAGCAAGTATTGTGAAGATCGGGGCAACGCTGCATGATCGGAAATGCATGGCATCACATTCTACACGTACGGCGCTCAACGCACTTTTTGAGTCTACTTTTCTCACGTTTCGGAGGGAAAACGTCCAAGAGCCATGAACTTGGGTGGGGATAAAAAATAGTTGAGCGAGGATGCTTGGATCGGGAACGGGAATGGACCTCCTCGTACTCGCAACACGTGTGGATGCACTCCACCATGAGAAGAGCACGTCGGCAACCCCACCTATCGTGTATTTTTCACCCATGGACGCTCGGCAGTGGTGTTCCTTCAACTTGCCTCGGTACGCACAGCGAAACACGGAGGCACTTCCCTTGTTGGGCCTACAATCACATGGCAATGAGCTGGCTTAGGATAGGGTTGGGCCTGGACGTGCGTGGGTACCGCCAACTGTGCTTCACCTATGCAATCCCCGTAGTGGCGCTCGTTGAGTCGGTAGTCCTTGATCTCCGGCACCCAAAGCTGGTCGAGTTCGTCCATCACGATGTGCTCCGTTTTGAGCACCCTAGTCTTTCGAAACGGCGAACGAAGGAGGACGTCTTGGTGTCACTTGACAGTTTATCATTCCTTACGCCATGCGGAAGCAGAAGCGGCAGCAGCAGCAGCAGCAGCGACAGCGGCAGCTTCGCACCGAAAACTCCGCAGTTGACGGACATAGCAGCAGTCTGTGCAACAAGCAAGCCAGCGGGTAGGCCTTCCAATGAGGGAACGGCCGAGTATCGAAACATGTGCACGGCCGCTGTCTGGAACGAGAACAAGCAGTGCCATGGGAGTCGTGTGTTGCATGCGATGGGCGTGGCCCACCGCGAGACACGAAGTACGTCCGAGGAACCGGTGCCAAAAAGCAAGCAGGGAGAGGATACCCATAGACTGCATGTGTTTTCCTTGCGCATAGAGTTTACGCTGGTGTTTGGAACAAGGGCGGGTTGCGACGGACAGCAAGAAGAACAGGTACCGCCAAGGGGTCGGCTGCTCACCGCTTGAGCACCGATGCAAATACCACGTCGAACTCGAAGCCTTCCTTCCGCAAAGCTCGCCCGGCCAGCAGAGCTTCGTGTTCGCCCTTTTCGGTGAGCGGGACGTCTGACGTACATACCATGTGCAGAGCAGTGAACGTGCATCCCGTACACAGGTGGAAAATCGATGTAAGCTATGAGGAATGATACGCTGAAGTAGACTTCCCACATGGTATATACGTAGATCGTTTAGGTGCTGTATTGAAAGCGTGAGACCGTACCTACTGTGTCAGTGTAGCTGTGCGTGTGTCCGCAGTCTGCAAAGTGAAAGAGGCAACGGTTCCATTGTTCATGAGACAACATCCTACAAGCATCTTACGCTGGAGTGCTGCAATGACTTCGACAGAACCACTGATGACGAACAGAGGAGTGTAAAATATCGCGCAGCACCTTTGAGACAGCGTTAATTATCCCAAGAACGGTCTGCGCCCGAGCTTAGCATGTACTTTGCAATACAGTACTGGGCCCTGTTTAGTGCCGGTTGAATAGTGCCAGGTGCCCGGTTTAGTGCCGGTAAAATCTCTGGACACAGGCACTGCCCTCAATAGTGCCAAACCGGCACTATTGAGGGCATGCCCGGTTTAGTGCCGGTTCGGCGCCGCTGTCACCCCCAATAGTCCCGGTTACCCCGCGCGAACACACACACACTATCGATCGTGTACTGGGGAGTCACGATCGAGCAGACTGCGGCACAGGCAAACTTTGTGGTGCAGGTGCATTGTTACCATGCAAGGACCGCTTGAGCCGAGCCCACTCCCTCGTCTGCACCAAGACCGGCGCCTCAACCTTCCTCCATAAATAACAGGATGGTTCGAGTAGTCCTCAAGACACTGCGCGAGTGCCATATGCTCCTCGCCGTTGAGGATTCCTCCCCTTTTACCACGGGCACTGGTAGGGGAAAGGGGCCATGCAAGATGGATTTGGTAGTACCCCCAGGATTACACGCAGGAGAAAAGGAAGAGGAACTCTGCACCAAATCCATTCTTATAGACGTAACAATTGTCAACCCATCCGCAGGTCGAAGCATCGACACGTCGATTCGAAAGCCAGGATCCGCCCTCGAAGATCGAGCTGCAAGTAAGGCAAATCACTACAATTGTATGCGGGAACTTTCAACCCGTCTAGATCTACGTTCCTTACTGCTGCTTTTTCGACGAATGGTGGTCTTGGCAAAGGCACCAATCGACTCATCGTTGCTATCACCCACCACTTGGCGCACGAAGCTTTTTGCCGGGGGAATTTCGACGACGAAAGAGCCTTAGTTCGCCTGAAAGCTTTTCATACTAACAGGATTCGGAGACGGTATACCTTCGAGCTAGCTCGTTTTCTGTAGATGCGAACTCGCGATGTGTTCAAACGTCATGGGCTACTGATCGACCAACTTCCACCAGGGCCAATCGGTTGGGATCTCTGCGACAACGTTAGTAATGAGGGTGATTATTTTAGGAGTGACGGACACGAAGAAAAGGGAAAGGGAAGAAAGGAGGACGAAGACGACGATGGAGGAGGAAAACATGGAGGAGTGGAAGAGAGCAAAGGGTTTGAGCCAGATGACCTTCCCCAAAACAAAAAACGTAGGGCTCGGGAAGAACTACCCAGAGATTCTTGTCAAAATGAGGGCCAGGATGATGGTAGCGAAAACAAGGAGGATAATAGTGAAGGTACTCCTAAACGAACTAGAGTACAAGGTAAAAGCCTTGGTAGACGCGTCCAGTTGTCTTCTGTTGCTGTTGTTTCTGTCTTTGATCCGAAGGGTAGTTTAGCCTCCCCATGCTGCCCCCTCACGGGGTCCCAGTTCATGGCAGATAGAAGTGTTTTGTGTTTTCAACTGCACTAAGACTGACGTCTTGTCATTGGACAGCCGGTTTGCGCGGGCGATGCTAATAATAAAAGCACACACACCAGGCAGAGAAGACAGACTCCACACAGAGAAATAGGGTACACGTGCTACTGCAGACCCGAACAGCTCTTCGCAGGGGCGTACCATGCCATGTGCGGAAGGTGAACTGTGCGCTCAACCAGACTCAACGCCGCAAGACCCTCATGGCCACCACTGCCAAGGAGAATGTGGCGGGCGGCTGCACGGCATTTGCGGCAGCATGTTTTGTGCAGTGATATTTTGTACGAACGAGAGAGAGCTTTACAAGCAGTTTGTGCCGTCACAGCTTACTCGAGTACATGACGTGTCTTCTTTCGCCGTCGACTATGTAGTCCTGGTTAAGCTGTAGCCCGAAACTACTGTATCTTATTTTACAACAAACACTTGTTGGCTCCACAGGTTGGAACCACACATGTCGCAGGAAAGAAAGTCTGCCCACGCCCACGCTGGAACTTCCTTCAACAGCAGTGTCGATCCATTTCGTACTCTTTTGACCCTGCAAACGTGGGCGCTACACCATATAAGACCCTGCAAACGTGGGCGCTACACCATATAAGTCGAACACAACCTCATTAGTGCCAGACCGGCACTAATGAGGGATTTGCCAGCCCTCAATAGTGCCGTTTTGGCACTATTCGCAATAGTGCCGGGTGCCCGGTTTAGTGCCGGTGAGAGCTCTGTGCACGTACCGGCACTAAACAGGGCCCAGTACTGTAGCGGTCTCGGTTCATGTCATCAAAGCAGCACCAACCCTTACCTGTCCAACCTATGTGTCGATCGTCTCTATTCCAAGTCGACTCCCCATGCCTAAGGAACACCACGCGGTGAGACGTGGTGGTCTCTTGCGGCGCCGGCAAGTGATGATGATCTCGGTCCGTTGTGGTCACCATGCTACTTGAAGTACATGTAGCCGGGGTTCGCTGCTGCAGCAGGGCTGGCGGCACAAAGGCATCCGCACCAATCAGTGCAGCGGTGGTTGTCCAGCCCAGTGTGAGAGCACATGATACTGAGCACATCCCGGAAACACCTACACACACGAAGGGTAGCGCCAGCAGAGGGCAGAGACGGCAGAGACGCCAACGTGGCTTGCGAACGACGTTCGGTGTCACGGCTGTCTGGGAGTACATGTAGGTGGGATTAACGGAAGAACGCCTCCATATACGTGGTCCTCTTTTGAAACGGTTAGATCCTGTAGACTCGCCTCGTCTCCGTGATGATTAAGGAATAATAAGTCGCAGTCGGAGATCGAGAGAGCGAGAGCGAGAGAGGAACACCAAGACGAGCACTGCTGTCCCAAGGGAACCACGGCAATAGGAGGGGACAGAAGAACGAATTTACGATAGCACGGCACTACAGCGAGAGCGTTGGATCCGGGCCGAGCGGTCTCGATTGATGTGAGCGGGACTGCTGACACACGCTTACACGCGTGGTTGGTTGCGCCGACTAGAAGAAAGAGGAGTAGCTGCGGCGTAAATGTAGACAGGCTAGGGTGGGCAGTCCCGACCGTACGTGATAGACACCGAGTTCGACGAACACAGCAATTTGTGCATCTCTTTGGGCGGCAGCATAATTTATAGCCAGTTCATGAACTGTTAGAGCCTCCTGCCCGCTCAAGCAAGCGTTGAAACGTACAATGCCGACATGCATTTCGCGGCCAATCTTCTCCTCCGAAGCAATCATGAATCGAGAATGGCGGTGTGCCCGGTTTGCACCAAGGTATCCAACCTGGTCTACTCGCGGTTGTTCGAAAAACATAGAGCCAGCGAACACCCGTCGCATTATGTACACACGTTCGTTCCCGGACTACTGTACGATGCAAAGTACACATCATCTATTCATTCTTCTGACACTGGCCACCGCCTGAAGATAGAGTTAGTTTCACACAGGTGTAATACATGCACCTCGCTGACACCATATGTTCTGCGGTCTTCATGTATTGGGAGTAGAATATATTGCCGAATCTACCGCCTTGTCTCCGTGGTAGCATCATTGGTTCAGTGGTAGAATGCGTGATTGCCATTCACGCGACCCGTGTTCGATTCACGGATGATGCATTATTTTTTTCCTGCTTGGCAGTAAAGGAGGGTGTGGGTGTGTAGAAAAGTCGAGCGTTCCGCCTTGCAGAATGTACATTTATTTGCAGTATGTGCACGATGAATCTTATTTTGCCTCGACGTTGTTGATGATATTTACTGTAAATAAATGATGAATAGCCTAATTTATGCAGCCCTTCTCAGACCTTCAGGGTGTGGCGTGGGTTGGCATGGTCGGTGTGGGAAAAAATCCAACGTTGCGGACTTGCTGGTGGTCTCCGGTCTTCGTACGTACTTTGTACTGTGCTATCTATCTATCTCATTTATTACTTGTTCTACGTGTGCGAGGGTTACAACGGAGTTAGCCTCTTCATACTACATGTTCATTTGTATGCTAGCGGTAAAGGCTGCTACATCTACTTACCTATCTGTTCGTGACCCAACTTACTTCCAAACTGGGACAACAATGGGCCTAGTTAAACACTTCGTAGAAGAAGTACTTCCTTTTCGGGGCTTCTTGCTTTCCTTCCCTACTACCCTGCCTCGTGTCTGCCTGACCTTGTTCGTCTACAGCCAGTATCTAGGAAGATAAACATTTTTTGCGAGTGAGTGTGGTACACCAGTAGGACGGCCTGTGTTGAGTCCTTTGGTGGAGAAGCTTGTGGTAACGGAAATGAATGGTACCATGATTGATTGCGAAATATAGGCAGGCTCATGTATGAAGATGCCTGATTGAAAGTTTCCAAAATGAATCCGACTCAACAACCAACCGTACGATATGACCGTCTCATGTAGGGACGAATGTTGCCGTTAGGGGTGAACTACTGGTTAATTTGAAGATGTCACGAACTCGTTTGCAGATTGTCACGCGACATATGGACAGTCTTCCCCATGCAATGCTTGAGTGCTCCCTTGTCGATGTTTGCGCCGGTTGTGTGCGTGTTGTCTTGTTGTGGAAATCCGCCACATAATACCAACAACCACAACATAGGGGGCACCTTCTGCAGCTGTTGGGAAGTGGAGTTTCTAACGCGGTGCAACAGAGTCGTGCAAGACCTGAAGCGAAGGACACATAAGTTCCATGTACACTCATCGAAAGGACTCAAGTCCATCCACACCTTCCCATACAACGGGTGAAAGAAGCCTGTTTTACAAGGGGTCAATAGGGCCATGTTTTCGCTCGTAGGAAATCGCGCCCGCAACAAGGGATCGGTCAGAGGTTTGATAGTGCTGGTCTTTCTGTGCCCAAAACCTTGTGAAGTATGATTAAATACATCGTGTGCATCGCTCACCACTTGGTTCCGAGTGTCTTCGAGGACATCACGTTGTTCTCTCTCTAAAGCTTGTTGTCAATCCACACCAAAACCGCGTGCGGTGCACCACAACACCCCGCCCAATTCCCCTGCGTGCATTCAGCTGCACGCAAGTCGCGTTTTGCTCTACAGTTCAACGTCCCCTGACATACCATTGTGCGCTGATTCCAACACAAGTATCGCGATCAACCACGAACACCCTACCTATCATTCCTGCCCACGGCACCCACACACAGTTAGGTGCAGCGGGGACCCCAAGAAGGGTGTGCACTAGTTTTCTTCATGGCGGAAGCGGCGGCAGCACCACCCGCAGACGCAGCGGCAGCACCACCGGCGGTCGCCGACGGGGGAGGTGAACCCGCAGTCGTCCCCTCAGAAAGCGGCACGACCTCTCCGCCCGCCGCGGGGGGAGGGGAGGGTGCGGCAGGGACACCAGCAGCGGCGACGAGCGGCGGCAGCGCCGGAGGGGAGCCGGCGAACGACCCCGCCCGGAAGCGATCGAGCGACGCCGTCGCCAAGGATAACATTGCACCAGCCCCGTCTTCGAATGTGCCGGTGAAGGAGCCGCTGGGGCCGGGACCCTTCACCCTTGATGATTTTGACGCGGGGGTGACACTGGGCACCGGCAGCTTTGGTCGGGTCCGCATCGCGACGCACAAGACGACACAGACGCCGTGGGCAATAAAGATCCTCAAGAAGGCTGAGATCGTCCGGATGCAGCAGGTAGGGGGCAGGACAGCTGTGTTTTTTGTCTGCATACTATTATGTGGAACCGGGCTTTTACAGCGTGTCGCAGTGAGGTGAAGACTACGACTGTGAAGGCGTGACTACTCGGTCGGTTAGAGGAAGCGTGAACCATTGGGGCAGAACAATGATCACAACGCGCAATTTCTTGAAAGAGGCTCTGGAAATTACATACCCGAGGTTGTTTTTCGTGTGGTGTCTGCTAGCACCGTCTAGTCAGGTATGCCAGAGGAGCTATGTCTTGGTCGGTCGATGTAATATGTATCCCGTTGAGGCTGTAGGTGTTGCCACTTTTCCCGAATGGCCTGCCTCAAACACGTTGGAAACGTATAAACCTCTGCAACGCCCCATTAAACTGACGAACGTTCCATGTCCCCGGGCACAACGTTAAGAGTCTACCCGATATTCTGCAATTCCGAAGCCATATCAAACGATTGGGCACACAGCTGTGTTCGCATGAGAGGGGCGCGTCTCTCCTGCGCCCGTGCGTGGAATTGCGAGGCTTACAGCAACGGACCCGGAGGCCAGCAACTGTTGACCATGCGAACAACGCGACCGTTTTCATATCAGCAGTGGTCACCGCTTGTTTCCGAAAACGCCGAGTATGAAGCGCATCTCCGAGAATTCTCTCCCTCTCTTCGCTTCTCCCGCCCTCCCTTCATCCCGCCACCAAACACTTTCGATTTCGACAACGGGAACACAACCAAGGTGGAGCACATGCTCAACGAGAAGGCTATCCTCGGCAAGATGAACCACCCGTTCATCGTCAAGCTCGCGGGCACGTTCCACGACGAGCGCAGCCTCTACATGATCCTCGAGTACGTCGTGGGCGGGGAGTTCTTCTCGCATCTCAGGAGAGCGAACCGCTTCGAGAACCACGTCGGCCGCTTCTTCGCCGGACACGTGACCCTCATGTTCGAGTACATGCACAGCATGGACGTCATCTACCGGGACCTGAAGCCCGAGAACTTGCTGCTGGACCGAGAAGGGTACCTTAAGGTCACCGACTTCGGCTTTGCTAAGGTGCGCGCGTGGCCCGGGTGTTTCTTGGTGGTGGGGGTGACGCGTGGTGGGGACAGTTGAGGTTGGTTGTGTTTGTCGGCGTTGTTGTCATTGTCGGTGTCGGTGTCGGTGTCTTCGTTGCTTGTTGTTGCTCGTCTTGTGCCTTCGTACTTGTTCGTGTTGTCGCTGCTGTTGCCATCGGTTTTAGTTCTTGCTTTTCTAGACATGTCGGCTACGAGGGGAGTAATTTCGCCCCGATGGACCCTGTTTCCGATCCCAGCCGAGCGTGCTCCTCCTCTGGGAACACCTCTGCTGACGAACAAGACAAACCGTACGCGTCTTCGCTGGGACGGCGGTGTCGAGGGGAGATTTATCGTCCTTTCGTCGTGTGACGTGCGGTCCGGTCGCAGGGGTCACGGCATGTTGTTTCCATGAGGAAGGCCACATATAATGTTTTTCCGAGGCCTCCTAACTCCTAACGCTGGTCCAGGTGTACATTTTGCGCTTGAAAAGCAAAATCGGCGTTGATTTAGTGCTCGAATGCCATCCAAGTGCTCTTGGACAAGTCTACGAACAGCACGTTGGCGTGGACCACTACTACCTCGTTGCCATTCATGGTTTACCTTGACAAATCTTGTTCCACCTCACGTACGACCTGTTCTTCCCAACAACAATTGGGTTCATGATCCCGGGAACGAAACAACGCAGGTGGTGGCCTTCAAGACCTACACCCTCTGCGGCACGCCCGAGTATATCGCGCCGGAGGTTCTCCTCAACAAGGGGCACGGGAAGGGAGTGGACTGGTGGACCCTGGGAATCTTACTTTACGAGATGCTTGTCGGGCAGCCGCCCTTCGTCGACAATGACCCGCTAAAGGTGAAACCGAAACAACCGTTGATCGCGCGTTGTTCCTACACGCTGGTCTGCGTTTTTGTTGATAGGGAAGGGCTAGTCGGGTCCACAGCGGCTTGCTGGATCCGGTAGCCTGGCCCAGCTTTTTATTTTCTTTCTATATCTCGTCGAAACTTATCGTCGAGTTGGTCCGACGTTATCGTCGTAGATCCACGCATCGTTCTACGAGAGGACACCGAACAAAAAAAACACACTTTCGTGCTCGAAACAGATCATTGTATCGGGGGGGCGGGGGGGGGGGAGGTAATGAGGGGGGGGGGCGGATATGTCTCTACACGAGGTCTTGTCGGGCGAATATTTAGTTCGTCGAAGTCGAGGTGAACAACCCAATGTCTTTCTGGATCGAAGGTTAAGGTTTAGCTTGAACGCGGCAAAACAGATGCCACTTATCGACCCACCCTGATGAGGCACACCAATCGCCCTCCTATGGAGTCGTCAGAGTTCTTGCCGCCTCAATCCCCTACCTAGCTTGGCTACGCAATGAGAGCAAGCATTGTTACAATTTCAATCCTAGATACGTCTCCGACATGAAGAAATGGGCGAGAATGTTGATGTGTACCTTTCGGACTACTTTAGTAGTGGTCGAGCTGTGACAAACCATGCAGAAGTAAAGAGGGACAGAACCCGATCGGGAAACAAACGTGGACTTCCTCCGAGAGCAAAGCGCAGAGCGACCCTCAATGTTGCTGTGGGGCTGTTCGTGTCATGGTAGATCGTTGCTCTTTTTCTGCCTAAATCGCGTTGCTGAAAGCGTGTCAAGCGAATTGTGCTCTTGGTCTTAAGTAAGACATCCCCGTCTTCATCAGGTGAACAAACCACACCCGCCCGTCAAACTCGTCTGCGAGTGCCACAAATTATACTACATCGAACAGATTTTGACGAACTACTGGTTGGTATGTAGCAAACGCCGAGACGGGCAAATTAGAGCGTGCACAAGTTTTTAACGCAAGCCTTGAGGCCCGGAACTGGGGTGACCAGCGGTATTGGAATCTCGAGGATGTGGGTGTGCACCAAATTGTCGCGTTCCTCTGGTCGGGAGTGATCGTATATGCACGACGTTCGAGGAGGCTTTCGCTTGCGTTCTCATAGCTTTGCTTGCTCCTCATGCATATTGAACAAAACACGAACAGGTCTACCAGTTGATCCTTGCGGGCAAGCTCGCCTTCCCGCGGTTCATGGACAAGAACGCCAAGAGTCTGGTCAAGAAGCTCCTCGTGGCCGACCTCACCAAGCGATTCGGCTGCGTGAAGGGCGGCGCACAGGACATCAAGTCGCACAAGTGGTTCACCGGCTTCGACTTCGAGGCACTCCTCGCCCGGCAGATTCCAGCACCCATCGTGCCCCAGGTACGTGCGATTGGCTGCTCTACATCATGGATAGGTCTTGACAAGTTGCTACAAGTCGAGCCGTGAGTGGACTGAATCTACTTGGAGTTTGCGGACGGAGCTATGCATTTACGTGAACCCTGCGGGTGGCAGAACCCCCTCTCGCCCCACCATTCTGTGTGGGTTCTGCAGAGAAACATGCCTCGCACTCCTACCCGTCTCCAACGCCCCTCATCAATTCGCCTTGCCCATCTCGTCGCCAGGTGTCGGGCGCATTGGACACGTCCCAGTTCGACCCATACCCGGACTCGGTTGATCTCCCCGACATCCCCAAGTATGACGGGGAAGACCCATTCAACGGTTTCTAAGCATTTGAAGGATGGACACCAACTTTGTATTGTAGGTTGATGGGAGAGGGATTTTTTCGGCATCCGGGTTGTTTGTTTCTGACGTGGTTTTTTCGTGCTGGATGATTGCTCTTTGTCTTTATTCGGTCGGGCTTTCCGACACCCGTCCCCCCAAGTAAGACAGGGATGAAACTCTCTCATGTACTTGCAGTGGTTTCTTTCGTGGAGAGCACGCATGTTTTATTTATTTTGTTGTGCAGGCGTTCGTTTTCTCGTGGGTTCTGTTTTGGCAGGCGCGCTTTAGTTTTTTTAACTGGTCTGCTTGCTTCGTGTCTTGCTGACGGCCGGCTCCCGCGGGTGGGTGGGCTTCGTAAGCGGACAAAAACGAACAGCCTTCTTAACGAATGTCTTTTGTTATTGCTGATTCACGATGAAATCGAATACGAGAACATGACGATGTGGCTTTGGGTCTTCATTTAGAAATATCTTTGCTGCTTGCTGGTGTGGTTCGCCTCCTAGTTTGAGTGAACGGCAGGGACGGGAAGCGTGGGAGGGTGTTCGCGCAACAGGAGGAATTTCCCCGAAGCGCGAAGTACTACCGTGGCCGAAGTATTTCCGCAGACCCTGGAATTCTTGGCGCATAGAGTAGAGAGAGCATTTTGTTCACGCACATCGGGTGTCTGGTGTCTTACCTTGATGACGTCTATCTGCTTTTGCTTTCCTTCAAACTCGTCTGTCCCTGCTTAACCCGGCCGCGGGAATTACACACTCCAATATTAGCCCAATCATGAATTGGAAGGATGTTAGAAGGTACTGAGCAGAGTTCGGAACGCTTTATTGTGTAGGTCAACCACAACCCAAGACCTTACTTTATTCCTTGGGAGTGATCAGAAAAATCACTGAAAGACTGAATTTACAAAGTGGTGGGGCTGGAACAATAATTCGTTTTCGTTGAGTATCATGCTGCCACTGGTTGAAATTGTTCGCTGTGCGCGTGCCATACAGACGTAGGCTGCTTGGTTCGCCTACATGTATGGGCGTAGTTAGACTATAGGATTCAGCCAACAGCAAGCGGGACACGCCTACTCAGAAATGAGGCTCGGTAATAGAGGGGGCGGAGAACGGGGGTAGGTCGGCGAGCACGCATCAACCAACCTCAAGTTTCGAATGACCATCGCCGTGGTAATTGTCACGCACGGATGGCCGCTGCATTCGATCGATCGGTGCTCCGTATCGCCGCGACTTGTGATTTGTTCCTGGATTGTTTCCCCTCCATGGGTATCGTCATCGTCATGCCTCGGTAAAACATACCATCACGTCCTTCCCTGCTCGATATCTACTACTCCTACCTTCCAAAAAGATAGGGTGGGGCAGGCTTTGGGGCGGCCACCGCAACACCGTCATCACACAAGCAGCACGCTGCTGATTACCTACTTCGGGTCACGGTGCGGCCAAACACACCCCAAAGAGCAAAAAAAGGAGTCAGGACGAAGGCCTCTGTTAACGCACACACACTCACCACCCACTCAGTGACACATGGACCGCACACGCCCGCACACACCTATACTGCGCTATTTTTCTACGGCACCTACAGCCGACTACGACTGCTTGAGTTGGTGAGGAAGAGAGAGGTGAACTGCGCCATAGAAGCTCCACGCTTCCGCCGCATAACACGAGCCCCCACAACACACATCCATGCCACGCACATCGAAAAGAACACAAACAGGAACACAATCACAAAGAATGGTCGAGACGGAAGACAGATCCACCACACGCAGCTTTAATTCCACCGAGCGAAACGGCTCCTGAAGCCGGTTTAGCTAATAGCACACCAAGCCACCTGCTTGCTCACCGGATCACCCGCCTAACTGGGCGCCCACAAAATCGAAACACGCATACCGATTGCGTTATCTGACCGCCGCCCCTGAGACAACAACACAGAGGCTTGTTTTTCGCTCCTCCTCTAGGCTTCACACAATAAAATGTTTTCGTCCCCTCCCGCGGCGCGGCGCGGCAATACAACCCGCAGCTAGCTTGGCGGCTGTCCCAGCGGGGCCGGGGCTGGGACGGGCTGCATCCACCCGGTGCAGTTCGGCGCGCCGGTCACAGCGGCGGTAGCAGCGCTGTTGGAGCTGGACTCCCACCCGTTGACCTCTTCCTCCAGCGAACGCGGCGCCGTCGAGGCCTGCAGGTGCTCGTGCTGGGGCAGCTGTGTCGATGTTGATACCGCCGGTTGTTCTACTTCTATCTTTGAGGCTGGTTGACCTCCCGCCGCAGTCTTCGCGACGAGCGGCATGGCAGTGCTTGTCCCCGGCCGCCGCCGCACGGGAGCCGCTGCCGTCGCCGTCCCGGCCGCCGCCGCGGCCTGCGCCGCCACCGCCGCGTACGCCGCCGCCTTCACCACCGCGCTCCCCTGAGGAGGGGACTCGCTGCCGCCCCCGGCTTTCCCCGCGGCGGCCGCTTTTTGCGCTGCTACGGCGGCGTAGGCTGCCGCCTTCACCACGGCGCTTCCCTCCGGAGACGACCCGGTGTCTGCCGGGCTGGACCCGTAGTGGATCACCGCCGTATTGTTCCCCCTCAGCGGCACTAGCTGCTGACTCCCGCCCGCAGCGGCAGCGGCTGCGGGTGGCAACACCGACGGCGCCGTCCCTCCTCCTGCCGGGGCAAAGAAAGGGCGCTTCGCGGGCTTGGCCCCCTTTCCCCCGACCGCCTGCTTCCGCTTGGTGCCTGCCTTGGCCTTTTCGGCACCGGCGGCGGTGGAGGAGGCCGTCGTCGAAGCGGTACCGTCAGCGCCGGCCTTCGCCTTCCCCTTCCCCTTGCTCGCGGAAGACTTGGACTTCTTCTCAACCTCTTTGGCCAAAGACGAGGCGGGCTTCTTGCACGCTCCGGAGCTGCTCAGCCCGCCACCACCACCACCGCCGCCAGCCGCCGCCGCCGCCGTCCCCGCCGTCCCCGCCCCTGCTCCCTTCAGTGACCCGTTTCCTACCACCACCGCCCCTACCCCTGAAACCGCAGCTGCTGCTGCCGGCGCGGTGCCGTCTACTCTAGTGCCGGATGCGCCTCCACCCCCCGCCGCCCCCCCACTACTTGCGGCCTCTCCCGCCTCCTGCTCCTGCCGCTGTGCTTTCAGGCGCCGTCTCGCGGACGCTCCGTACCGTTTTCGGACCTCCCGGAACGCCGCGCCGTTGGCGTAGTAGTACCCCGTGAGCGGATCTCGGTACGGCGCCGGGGCGCCGGTGATCTTGCATCGTCGATCGGAGGAAGACTTGGCGGTCTTACTGCCCTTGTCCTGGTCTGCGCCGTCGCCTCCGCCCGCGGAGAAAGGGGCCTGACAGAGGACCGGAGGGAGGTAGTACGCGTCCGGGAAAAAGATTGTGTCGACGCAGCCCCGCCGGGACGCGTAGCGGGACGCCAGGATCTTGTGCTGCTTGGGCCGGCCCTCGTCTTCCTTGGCCTCATCCTCCAGGCGGCGTTGCTTCAGGATCCAACGCATGTTCTCTTGCTGCGACGAGGCGATGTATGTAGAGAGGGAGAAACGGTCACGAGCGGAGGGACACACACGGTGAACAAGGGCTCCAGACAATTTGGAACGGAAAAGGGAGTTGTGACTTTTGTAGTAGGCGCTTCAACTGAAAAAAAAGAAGAAAATCTCGCGTGTTGTCCACTCGCTGCTTCAGGCCGGACCCATTTTCGTTTTCGTCGTAGTTGCTGTGGAGGGGATCAAGATACGTTGATCAAGGGAATCGGGCGCACGTAACACGAGACGCTTGATATCTCGCTCCTAAGCCAAGATACACACCAAAAACGTCGACGATCCGGCCAAGCGGGCATTAAAGAGTCTGGATGCACCTTTGTGACGGTTGTAGCCTTTGTTGGAAAAGAACGAACAGGTGCTTTGGAGGTCACCGCAAGTCAGGCTGCTTTCTTCAAAACGCGGAACACACAAGACTGCTGATGCTGTGCAAGAGAGGAAGCAACATTATGTGACCATCGTAATCGGTGTGAAGGCTTCAAAAAGATGCCGGAGGGAGCCACGGACATTGAAGAGGAGCGAGGAAAGCTGCGACGCGGTGGAATCAAGCTAGGGCGAGGGGACACACCTGTGAGACGAATTGGAGGCGAGACTACCTTACAACCTCGTGTGAACAGAAAAACTCAACCTGAGAACTAGCAATCGCCTGAAGTAATCGACGTCATCACGTGAAGTTAGATTGGGGGCTAGCCAAGGCAGACCTCTCACCTCTGTTTGGATCGCTTCCAGCAGCAGCTGCTTCTGGGTGAACTGTCCCTTGATAGCCTTTTTCCGCTGAGGAGTTGACCGTTTCAGCTGTGCCTCGCGCGCCTTTGCTTCGCCTTCTCTAACCTCCAGACTTTTCTCCGTCTAATGTTTTTCAAGTTTCGACACGGGTGAGGAAATCCGGATCCACAAAAACAGGTAGGGGGCGCGGTTGAGGGGGGCGCTACAGCGGAAACCTCTTGTCCGCCCTTGACAACAACCAAACAGCACCAGTACATTGCCATCAGAAACCAACCACGAAACTCGGCAAGACTGCGGTGACGCAATGTCATCGGCCAGAGACTACGCCCCTCCAACAAAGCAAAAGGCTCACACGCCCCTCCAACAAAGCAAAAGGCTCACATCAACTGCAAAACGAAGCCCACCCGAGAGGCATTTCCTCGGACGCCGGCAACAAATCCCGGTCCCATCAGGGCGCATCAGCAATCTCACCTTGTTCTTAGTGCTGGCTCGTACAGTCCTCTTGGACAGTGCGCCGGGGGCGGCGCCGCTCGACCCCCCCCCCCCCCGCGCGCTACCGCCCGCTGACCCCCCGGCGGGCGCAGTCTTTCTCTTCTTTACCGCGAAGGTCTTGGGCTCCTTATAGACACCCCCCGGTTGCTTGCGCTAAAACGGGAAACCAGAGGCAGGGCACGCACACCGAAAAAGGGGTGTTTGAGAACGCGCCGGCCGGCGGTAGAGACAAATACAGTCCGGGGTGTACACAAAAACAATGCATCGAACCGGCACATCTCCTGCACATGAGAGCACGGTTCAAGTCGTCTCGCCGCTCGCTAACCGACGGTAATATACCTTCGCGGCCCGCTCGTTTTTTCTGAGTCTGTTCTCCTCCTTGCCGTCATCGTCCTCCTCCTCGCTCTCGCTGTCGTTGAAGTCTTTGTCGAACTTGTCCGGCTCGTCTGGTGCATGTGTGTGTGCGGTGCAAGCGCGTTGTTGTGTTCTTGCGGTGGGTGGAACGGTAAGAGAAGGGGAGGCGTCGAGAAGGGTCGGTAGAACCTCATTCTACGATAGCCGAACGAGATGTTGGTATGTAGTCATGGACGAACGTTCGTCGACATTTGGGCGACGTCTCCCCTCCTCGGCATGAGGTTGGCATCACTCTCGGGTTATTTTTTATTTTCTGAATAGACCCAACGAATCCATCTCTTAATCCGCAAGGACACCACGGGGGCTTACGACTTCCGTGCGCCGTAGCTGGAAATACAGAGTAGGGGTACATTGCCGCTATCGTCCGTCGCGCACACACCCGGGGATTCGCTACTGCTGAACTTTTACACTCCTCCACGCATACTGAGTTAAGACTTGTCGCGGCTGTCTCATTGGCGAAGTCTAAATAATCTTCAAATTTTCTGATATTTTCAAACCCATCGAGCGCTCTCTTTGCAGTGGCAGCACGTTCAGATCTCACCACCGCGGTTGCGAATATGACGCAAGCGAGACAAGGGTCAACACCTCCCCCCCCCCCCATCAGTACAGCGTGAGCGGTGCCCTCGGCCCTGCAGCAGAAGCAGCGCAATGTCTGGGCACGTGCGAAGGACTGTAAGCAGTCTGCAAGTAGCGACTGTAAGGTTTCCGGCTGTGCCGAGTACGGATTGATGCTTGCGCGCACAACATGCCATGCAGCACACCACGCAACGTATGCCACTAGAAAGAGAGCCACCACCCACCCACGCCACTTACCTTCCTCAGAGCTGAACTCAGAGTCCCCGTCTTCCTCTTCCTGCCAGGCTCCTTGCCCCCAAAACGTCTCGTCCGCCTCGGCGTCGTCGCCCTGCAGCTCGCTGATGCGCTGGCCTCGCGTGGATCGAGCGACGAGCTTCACGGACAGCGCCGCCCCGGCCTCTTCGAGAGCCTTGGCCTTCCTTCGCTTCTCCGCGGCAAGCGACATCAGGAGCCGCGTCCCAACTGCTGCTGCGCGTGTGCGACAGGGCAGAGGGAGAGCAGCAGACAGCAGACTGAGCGGAGAGGGGGGGGCTCGCGATTGGTACTGAAAAATGCATACATATCACGGGGTGCTGCTGTTCTCAGCACCAGGACCCGCCGCGCGGATCAACGGATTCGCAGCCAGCTCTCTGGCTCATCACATCACACTGCGCACACTCTCCAGCAACGGGCAAGGTAAGGGGCAGCAGGGGAGACAGACAGAGGGCTACTGAAAGCCACAGGGGGGCAGTTCAGAGCCCGTCTTCGTTCTGTGGGGGCACAGAAAGAAGATGCCGCCTCGAAACACCGCGTTGCGGCGCGACGGCCGCAGTCCCGAGACGGCGTCGCAGCAGGAGACTTCCACCACAGTCGCCATCCGCCTCCGGCCCTTGAACGACAGGGAGAAAGAAGGGGGTCAGAACAAGATATGGCGATGCGTGCCTACTCACAACTCCGTTACGCAGGTGAGTCGCCAAAGCAAAATTCTCGTCGGTTGGCTGTCTCTCCCCCGCTCTCTGTTCTGTGTCTTTTTTGCCCAAGACCATTTTTAATTCACCAACGGCCGAATCCGTCATGTCACCATAATGCTTTATCGCCCTCTACTGCTGCTGCCAGCAGGTATCACCTAGTGCAGCAATGGTTCAGCGCAGCAGTGCCATGTTATAGAGTAGCACCATCTAGCCCTGCTCTAACGTACCCACACAAGCCACGCACAGCATTGGCCGTAATTTGGTTGACACCGCACAACATATGTTGTATTCCAATAGCAGTGAAATGTACGCTCGCGCGCTCGTTCTGCTCTCGCAATCTCACTCTGCTAAACAAAAACTTGCGTTCGCGCCGGTTGTTATCCATTCCAGCGTTTTTCCACATCAAGCACCAAATATGGAACGCAATTTGTCACAAGACCATGATGCCCCCTTCCGGAAAGGAACGGGACACGTATATATATCACGATTTGGTGGTGAATGCAGACGGTCGCGTCCATATGCGATCCATCGCATCATCACCGCACCGATGTCCAATCCCACCTGGCGTCTGTGTCGTCCTTACCGGGGACAACGGCACACAAGTATTCCGCACGCACGCGATTAACGGCGAGACAGGGTAATTCGCCTGTCAGCGTCTTTCAAAACATTAACCTCCTGTTGTTTGTTGTTTACCCACGGGCACTCGTGTCGCTGATGTCTCTCTCCTCTTTTCGTGTGCCGCCTGCTGCTCAAACATCATCGCGAAATAAAAAAAACAGACGTCGCCTGAGGGCAACCCGCTTCCGGACGGCAAGGGGACTTTCTTCACGTACGACCGGATCTTCGACGAGGACAGCTCGACGCAGGCCGTGTACGACGGGGCCGCGAGGGACATCGTGCACTCCGTGTCCCGCGGCATGAACGGCACCATCTTCGCCTATGGCCAGACGTCCTCGGGCAAGACCTTCACCATGCAGGCACGGGGTGACGCGGCGTGTTGGGTGTGCTCCTCCTCGTGGTGGTTCCCGCTGACTCACCCTTATTGTTCCCAAGTATCTACCATAGAGGGTTTGGCACGGTTATCATTATATCGATCTATACTCCGGTAGAGCTACGGGGGCGTGGGGAGACAGACAACCAGTATTACCGTGTCGAAAGGTTGAGGGCACGAGGTCCCAAAATCGTCGTTGTCGTAGATGGCTTTTGGGGGACGGCTCGGCCACCAAATGCTGACCGGCAGCCAGTCGTCCTGCAGAGCTACAGCAGTACATGCCCTCACCGGAAGAATACTTCTAGAGGTACAGCACCTGGTGTCGATTTAGAGCTTGCTCTACTGAGGTAACCTGTGTGACCGCGCTTCCACAGTGCACAGCTGTTGGATCGCAGTCTTCCCCAAGGCTTTTTACAGCTGGTCTCGGGACCCTTGGTGCTTAGTTCCCTCGACAGGGCACAGCGGTTGAGCGCGGTCCGCCCTCAGTCCCCTGTTTTCAGCTAGGCTCGAAAACGCTTGTCATTTTACAGCGTCATGCAGGTAGAGTCTCCTAGTAAATGAAAGCACAGAGGTATTTGCCTTATTGATTTCTGCGAAAGCGCAGGAAATGGACGGGGTGCCTGTCTCCGACAAGTTTACCGACACCGAGCACAGCAGTGCCCAGATGAAGCAGCAAGGAGTGGCAAAGGGGTCCCGCAGAATAGTATTGGCCTCCAGTACCTTGTTTGTTTGTAAACAATCGTTCGTTCGGGGGAGTGCCCGCCCACTCCTCTCCGATCGGGAAACTTGTGGAAGGTCGCGATACAAGAGTAGGATTGCGGGCTGTGGTTCAGTCACGTTATCTCCTCGATCCTGTGGATGTCCAATCAGAAGCCGGTTTGTCCCGCCAGAGCATTTTAGTTGTTGCTTTTTCCTTCACGTTGAAAAAGGTCCAGGTCTCTGCTCAGCAATTTCCAACCCCCGTAGCGGCTCAACTGATGCGGACGCATTCCGTGGTGACAGGCCAACTACCCACAATATTCATTCGTTGAACAGTACAACTTCGTATAAATGAGATCGCAGTTGGCAGGCGGAGGGATCACTCTCAGGATTCAAACCACACTCGCAGTTTTAGTCTTCATGCCCGTCAAGAACACTTTCAGGTCACTTGGGAACGTTGTATTGCACGCTGGTGGGGTAACGTTTCCTCCCGTCCAGTTGACACAAAACAAAACTGCGGACAAGCAGTGTATTTTGGTTGTTGTTGTTTCAGTGCTGCTCCAGCTTCTGCTCCTGCTGGTGCTACGGCTCTTCCTGCTGTACAAATAGTCGCGTCGAAAAAAGACCGCAGCCTATTCCCCGTCCAGTGCAACACAACGCCGTATGATGCTAATCCACCAAACGTCCACACGCACTTTACACTCGCACGCACGCTCAACACCCACGCACAGGGAGGAGGCAGTGAGGCCAACCCGGGCATCGTGCAGATCGCCACGCGAGACCTGTTCCGCCTGATCCAGGAGAAGACCGACCGCATGTTCCTCATGCGCGTGTCGTATCTCGAGATCTACCAAGAGGAGATCAGGGATCTACTCAACCCCGAGAACACCAACATGCAGGTGGGTGTTTTTTGTCTTTCCTTAGTTGGCAGCGACCACGCTAGGCAGCGCGTCAAGGAAATGACGGTGGTATCAGAGTGGGAACGTAGGCGTGTGTGCGCGTGTATAGGGTGTTTCTTTGGTTGGAGATAGCATCGACCGCGTTAACCGGCTTGTCAGGGAAAAGACGTCAGAATTAAATCAGGAACATAGGCGTGTTTTGGTGTGTGTGCGGGCATGTAGGATGTCTATCGCGCGTATGTTGTACAAGGATATGTCCGGGGGGGGAGGGGGTCGTCATTGGTGTGGAGTGCTGTGGGCCTGTCTAGAGTGACTTTTGCGCACAATGCGGGTGTTTGTTACGATACTTGAGGAAGGACATGGTGGATGTGTTGTTTGATGCATGCACGCGCGTGCCAGTGTTTGCGTAGTTGTGCCGGGGTCGTTTGGGTCTTGCCTGTGCTTGTGAAGGATGTGGTGGTAAGGGTCAGTCTGTCGCACTGGTGTAAACCTCCCACGGCGTTGCTGGCCCTTTGAGAGAAATAAGAGCATCTTCATATGTGTCCGCAAGGAACAAAAACTACCCGAAAAAGCGCGCAGCGCCCCTACAACTAAGGTGTTTCCGATACAGATAACTCGTGATCATTGCAACAAGTTGGTTCGGGCGAGTCACCAAACATTTAGAAAAAGATCAAAATTTTCGTTCCCAAGGAAATGTGTGCAATATTGTTGGGAGCGACGCGATATGAAGGGGTTTCTCCGAGTATATGGCGAGAGTCCCTGAGGAGCTTTTAATTCACCCCTAATAATGACATTGCGCTACCCCGGGGTTTACTCTCCGTTGACAACCGCGGTCCCAGAAAAACAAATTGGGCGTACAGTACAAGCGGTCAAGCGTGTTGCTCCTTGCAGACGCTTGCTCTGGGCGAAATACGTTAGCACAAATATGAGGCCAAGAAACGATCATTTGACACCGGGACAGCAGCGTGACGGCTAGAGTTCTACTTCACCCTCTACGTGGCGTGCTCTGAAAATTGAACACCCCAGACATTGGACACGACCTCCGGAGAAGATGAAGAAGGCGGTTAGACAAGCTCGCTTTTTTGTGTTGTCGCCGAAGGGAATCCCGTTGTATCTTGAGGCCGTTAAACGCGTGTAGAGCGGTCGGACATTGGGGGTGCCGTGGATGAGAATCAGTCATGTCCACACCGGTGTTTGGTTTCTTAGTTCTGTTGGGAGCTGGTCTTGCTCGAGGAGTGTGGAGATGTTTGGGACAGCTTCATCTTTGGTCAAGGAAACTGAAACGATCAAAGGTGACCACGGCGCGGGAGATTGGGTGCAAGTACTGCACAAAGACTGAGGCAGCAAAGCTCCCAAAGACCCCTACAAAGCGCCAACTACAAAAATCAAGCGTTGTTGCAGCTCTTCAGTATGAGCGCTGACGCTGACAATACGACACAAATGTCCTGCACGGCTTCCCCTCGCCATGTGGATCTCGGAAACGTGGCCGATGTGTTGTGAACAACCCCCCCCCCCTTCCGTCGTGAAAACGTTGGCGCACGTCAGGTTCGCGAAGACCCGAGGAAGGGTATTTACATCGACGCCCACGAGGAGACGGTGGGAGACTTCGAGACGGTGCTCAAGATCCTGAGGGTCGGTGAGAAGCAGCGCCACGTCGGGTGCACGGAGATGAACAGCCGGTCTAGCCGCTCGCACACCATCTTCCGCCTCGTCGTGGAGAGCCAGCAGATGTTCGACGAGAAGGTGCACACCTCCCAAGAGGAAGTGGACCCGTCCACCCTCGTCGCTACCCTTAACCTGGTCGACCTCGCCGGGTCGGAGAGCGTGCGGCACACCGGCGCGACGGGGACCCGTCAGAAGGAGGGCGGGATGATCAACCAGAGCCTGCTGACGCTGAGCCGCGTGATCCAGACGCTGACCCAGCCGGGGCACTCGCACGTGAACTACCGCGACAGCAAGCTGACGCGCATCCTGCAGCCGAGCCTGTCCGGGAACGCCCGCATGGCCATCATCTGCTGCGCGACGGCCGCCGAGGGCTTCCTCGAGGAGACCCGCAGCACGCTGCAGTTCGCCTCCCGCGCCAAGGAGATCAAGACCCGGGCCATCGTCAACGAGATCGTGGACGACAAGACCCAGATCCGCCGCATGGCGCAGGAGCTGGCCACGCTGAAGCGGAAGCACGCCGAGCAGCAAGGCGGCGCCGCCGCGGGCGGCGAGCTGGTGGAAGCGCTGCAGCAGGAGAAGGCGGAACAGGCCGAAAAGATCGACCGCCTCAAGAGGCTGCTTCTTAACATCGCCCCGGCCGTGGCGGACGAGGACGGCGAGGCCCTTCTCCTGCACCTAGACGTCTCCCCGAGGTTCCGCCGCGGGAAACGCTCGCGCGAAACGTGGTGTCCCGGGGACACCGCCAGCATCGTCACCGCCCCCCGCCCCCTGCGCCTGCAGAGCCCCAACCTGGCTGACTTGGACGGGGAGGAGGAGCACCGGCCGAAGCGTAGGTCCAGCGAGGCGGCGGGGGGGACTGCTACCGGGAAGATGACGTCGGAGGAGGGGCGCGGCCAGCCTGCTGCTGCTGCTGCTGCTGCTGCTGTCGCGGTTGCGCCTTCGGGTGATATGGAGGCGATCGCGACCAAGCTGGAAGAGGCCCTGGCGGCGAAGAAGGAGACCGACGAGGAGATGAAGGAATTCGTGGCGTACACGGTATGCATAAGTTTGGCGTTTTCGGTGGCGGCGGTCGTGTTCTTGTGTTGTCTTGCTGGTGTGACCCGGGTACAGCAAGCAATCTATGGTTGGTGCCTGGAGCGTTTAGGTTGCGGCGGCCGTGATCTGATGTTGAAGATTGTTTGTTGTCCGTGTGGCCCGGGTAGAGTCTATGGTCGCTGTCTGGAGCGTTTGGGGCCGTCTTGCTCTAGGTACGACACATGCTTAATTCTTTCCTGCATGAAATGTGGCCAGTCCGATCTGCTGTGTACTATTTTCCCGCTATCACTTGGTTGAGAGAGCTCTGCCAAAATCGGATCTCAGTTTGGTCTTCCCGTCATTTTCTCATCTGCAGCTACGTTTTGTTGAGGGTACATGTTTTTTTCAAAGAAGTTGATGAGCTATGCTTGTGGTTGTCTCATCGGCAGCGGCACCCGACTGCTGACGTCCGCCGTTTCCCCGTGTACACAGGAGGACGTCGAACGCGTGCTGGCGTCCACGAAAGCCCTTCTCGCCCAGGAGGTCGAAGCTACGGAGAAGGCTGCCGGCGACGTCGCGGCCGCCACGGCCGCAGCCGAAGCTGCCGCTGCCCGCGAGCAGGAGTCGACCGCCGCGCTGGAGGAGCGCATCGCCGCTCTGGAGGCCGACAAGGCCGACCTCGAGCAGCAGGAGGCGGTGCTGCGCGCGGAGAACGAGGAGGCGGTCGCTATCATGGCCGAGAACCAACCCCGCGAGCCCGTGTTAGCGGACGCCGACGTTCAGACCGAAGCTCCCGATTCCGAAGACGAGGCCGCCGAAGGTGCTCCCGCCGCTGGCCGGAGCGTGGCGGATGTCGAGGTCGCTGAGCGCGAGGTTGCTCTAGCGGGCCTGCAGCAGCGCGTGGAGGACCTGGAAGCGAGTCTTATGGAGGCCAGAGGGGAGCAGCGGGAGCAAGAAGTCTGCAACCGGGAGGACAAGCAGAAGGCGGACGAGTCGCTGATCGAGGCCCTGGCGGCGCAGCGGCGGGCGGAGGACGCGTTCAGCGCCGCCTGCCAATCGGAGCTTGAGATGCGGTGCCGGCTCGAGAACGCCGTGCAACAGGTGCAGGAGGCGGAAGAGGCCCGCGACGCGATGTCCACCAAAGCCGAGGGAGAGGCTGCCTCCGTCGGCAAGGAGCGGGAGAAGGTCCGAGTCCTGGAAGACCGTGTGGCCGAGACCGAGACTCGCCTGGACGCGGCGGAGCAAGCCAAGACCGCGACCGAGGAAGAGGCGCGGCGCGAGGTCCTCGCCTCCAAGGAAAAGGATGAGACCATCGGGGAACTTAGCGCCCTCGTTGACAGCCTGAGCGCAGACGGGGACAGGAAGACGGTCGAAGACAAGGCCAAGGAAGAGGGCGACGCGGCGCGCGTCCAGCAGCAGCTGGAGCAGCTGCTATCGGACAAGAACAAGGCGGAGGAAGAAGCTGCAGCGGCACGCGCCGAGAACGAGGCCCTGTGCGCCAAGATCGACGAGTTGTCCGGGCAGGTGTCGTCCGTTGCTGCCGAAGCGGAGGCCCGCGAGGACCTGGCGGCGGCGAAGGAAGCAGCTGCGGCGGCGGCGGAGGCCAAAGTAACCGAGGACATGGCGCGCGTTGTGGAGGAGGCCATGGCCTCCGCCGAACAACTGGAACTCCTTCGGTCTGAGCTCGAAACTAAGGCCGAGGCGGCCGCGGAATTCGCCCAGACGATCGAGTCTCTCGAGTCCCAGCTTAGGGCCGTCCAAGACTCGGCATCGGAGCGGGAGGCAGCGGACGCTGCTCGCATCGCAGACGCAGAGAGCCAGGCGGAGGAAGCCGCCGGACGTCTGCTGGCGGCGAACGAAGCCACCGCTGCAGAAAAGGAAGGCACCGCGGAGTCGGCCGAGTTACTGGCCGAGGTGGAGAGCGAGCTCACGGCGGCTAACGAGCTGTTGGCGACGGTGCAGGATGCCATGGCTGAGAAGGAAGCTTCTGCCGCCGCACGCATCGCCGAGTTGGAGGCCGAGCTTGCCTCGGCTGCCGGATCCCTGGCCGCTGCCCAGGCCGCCGCCGGGGAGAGGGAGACTGCGGCGTCCGAGCGTATCGCTGAAGTGGAGAGCGAGCTGTCTGCTGCCAACGAGCTGCTGGCCTCCGCGCCGTCCGCTGTCCGCGTGGAGCAGCTGGAGAACGAGCTCAAGGAGGCCACGGAGTCCTTCGGGGTTCAGTTGGCGGCGGCCCGGGAAGAGGAAGAGGAGGCCGTGTCGAAGCAGGTGGCGCTGGGTGTCGAGCGTGTCGCCGAGGTCGAGGCTCAGCTCAAGGCCGCCAAGGACAGGCTCGGAGAAGTACTGTCGACCGCCGAGGAAGCGGAGGCTCTGCGCGAGACGGTGGGGGCTGAGCGTGAGGAGACGGTCGCCGCGGCCGCTAAGCACGACGCCGAGATGGGTGAGGCCCGGAGAGAGCTCGACAGGGTCAAGGCTCTGCTTGAGGCGAAGGCTGACGAGGTCGAGCAGCAGAAGGCCTCGGACGAGCTCCGCCAGGCGCGAGAGGCGGCCGCTGCCGCGGAAGCGGCCGTTGCGGAGAGGGAGGCCACGATCGCCTCCATGAAGGAAACCCTGGGGGCCGGGGAGGGAGAGCTCGCCCAAACCCTCGAGGAGTCCGAGAACCTTTCGAAGGAGGTTCTCGAACTCACCGAACAGCTCATGGCCAAGGACGCCACCCTTGCCGAGCTGCGCGAACAGGTTCGTTTCGGGGTTTCACAGGCGAAAGGCTTGTTTCAAGTACCTCTAGTTGCCCTTAACAGAACACCCCTGGGGAATAATAGGCTTCGGTGTTTGACAAGATGGTTAATTGTTCGAGAATCAGCGTAATTTTTGCACGTTTTTCTCGATTTTTGTTAGGGTCACGTGATGGTTTGTGCTTGCAAGTTGTGTTGCGTTGGTGGTTGGAGCGCTGTGTTACTCTTGCCTGTTTCACTGGCGACTTCAACCAATGAATTGTTTCGATTCTTCTAGGAAATTCTCAGCTTTTTAATGTTCGTTCTCCCTTTGCTCCCTCGATGCACAGCTGGAGGCTCGCGAATCTGAACTGGCTGAGTTGCGGGCATCGCCCCCGGCCACCTCAAACGCCGCCAACGATGGGTTCGACGGGGAAGCGACCGAGGCCAGCGCCGAGCTCCGCCGGCTGCGGGTGGACCTGGACAAGAAGGGCAGCGAGCTCGACACGACCATGAAGGAGTGCGAGGCCGTGCGCGCGGAGCTCAAGGAGGTGAAGGGGATGCTCGGCGCGGCGGCAAGCGCCGCCGGAGCCGCCGGTGCCGACGAGCAATCCCTCCGCAAGCGCGTGTCCCAGCTCATGTGCGAGAACGGGCTCCTCAGAGGGGAGAAGGACCGTCAGGAGGTCCTTGCCGCCGAGGCGAAGAACGAGGCCAAGGCCAACACGTCTCGCTCCGCGGCGGAGGTGGAGAGGTTGCAGCGGGAGGTGGACCGGTTGTCTGGGGTCGTCGCCGGCAAGGCCGATGGAGTCGCGGCGGAGGGGGACCGAGCGAAGGCGGCGCTTTCGGCGATGGAGGCCAAGCTGTCGGAGCTTCGCCAGGAGCGAGCGGAGCTCCAGGTGCGGGCGAGTTAGTACTGCTGTCTTGGACTGCGGTCGGCCTGCTGAGGGTGGCATTTTTTTTATGTGGAGGTTAGGTGACCGGCCGCGTCGTTCGAGGGGTGCGAGAAGTTCTCAGGTGTAGGGGTGGCTAGCCCCTGGAAGGCCAATTCATGCTGCCGTTTCGTTTCAAACTCTGTATATGTGTCTCCGATCCGATTTTGCCGCCCGTCTTGGATCTCGACGGGGGCACCAGACGGCGCGTGACACATTGAAACCTACAGCAGTATTGCTTATTTTTTAATTCCCTCCGCAAGGTTAGCATAGCGTAGACCGTCTTTCGCTGCATTTTCCGCTCGTCTGTCTCTCCTGCTTCCACCAGAGCTCGATCACAAGCGCACAACAGACCAGACGTGTTGACCGTGAACGTGGTCCGACGCATTTTCCCATTTCCGTGTCAACGTTTTTGTCTTTTTGTGCGATCGCCGCCGACAGGAGGCGACGCAGAGGTCGCTAGACCGTTGCTCGGAGGCCGAGGGCGAGGTCGAGACCCTGAGGAACCGTTTGGCCGAGGTGGAGGGTCGTGACGCTAGCCGTGGCGTGGTAGTGGCTCTCGAGACCAAGGTGGACGAGCTGGAGCAGGTGATTACCGCTACCATCGCGATGTTGTTTTCCCTGAGAAGCGGCTCGTTTCGTAGTCGCAAGCAGTTGAATTTATGCACTGCGCGCTTTCTTTGAAGAAGAACTGGTGAGGCTGACAGCGGTGTCTGCTGTTTTTTTGCGTTGTTCACAGTTGATGTGATATCGATGTTTGATTTGGTTCTCTAGCCGACGTTCGCGAGATACAATGGGGCCTGGCCTAAATAATGTAGACAACAAAGGTCTCCAACTTTTCGCACGCTGGAGTCGCTCGTTTTGAGCGACGCTGTTGTTTTGGAACGCCTTCGAACCAGGGCGTGAAATTTCTCACCCCCTGACGCTACTGCTGTCCGGGCACAACGCTACCTGCCTGTCCCTACTTGAAATTTAGGTTGTCTTTTACTTCAACCTTGTTTGGCGTGGGCGCCTCGCATCGTCCCTTTCCCTACGTCTAATTTGGGTTGCCTTTTACTTCACCCTTGTTGCGCGGACGTCTCACATATTCCCGTTCATGCGCTGCCGCCCTCAGGAAGTGCGCCGTACCGCCGCCTCTAAGGCTGAGGTGGAGGTGGATGCCCGCGAGCATGCCAACAGGGTTAAGCGTCTGCAGGGAGAGGTGGAGATGATACGGTCGGAGTACGAGGTTGTCTCGGAGGAGGTGGCCGACCTTCGCGTCGCAGAGGTGCGTCGTGGGCACTGAGAGGGTGTTTGCACATGCGTGATGATGGACCACTTTTGTTTTCGAGCTGGGAGGGAGTTCTCAGGAGCTATGAATTGCGTTTTGTAGAATTTACTTTTGAGCTGGGTGAGAGTTCTCTGGCGGCTATGGACTGCGTTTTCGTGGAGTTTGCTTTCGAGCTGGGAGTTCTTGGTTGAAGTAGCTGCCGTATTAATTTTTTGCCTCTCCAATTTGTGCTGCGGCGCAGAGTGGAGTCCCGATTAGGAGAAGCCGGCAACGCTTCAGAGGGAAGGGAACGTAGCGTGGAATTGGCCTTGTTTGCGTTTGTCATGTACCGGAGTATCCAAAGCCTCTGGCGTTTTGGCACGTCGACCGTTTCAGTTTCGCGTGTGCTGCGCACAGAAGTGAGTTAGTTGCTCTGACATTGTTCTTCGTTCCAGGCCTTTTGTTAATTTATTGGTCGTCCCGTCTATTTTCTTCGGCAATCACCCCCGTCTCCGCGACAGGCGAAGCTCAAGGAAGCTCTCGCACTCCAGCAGGCGACGACGGCGGACGGTTCCGAGGACCGTTCCAACGAGCTGGAGACCGAGGTCGCCCGCCTGGGTGAGGAGCTGTCCGAGCTGAAGAATGCCCACCTCGAAGCCCTCAGCGCGGAAGAAGAGAAGCGCGGTACGATACAGGCGACGCACGGCGAGTCAGTCGCTGCCCTCGAGAGGACGGTGTCGGAGCTTCAGGAGGCGAACTATTCCTCCGCCGCCGCTCTGGAGAAGAAGGTCTCCGAGTTGCAAGCGGAGCGCGATGAAGTCGAGAAAACCGTCTCCGAGCTGCGGGCTAAGCACGGCGAGATCGTCGCCACTCTGGAAGGGGAGGTTTCCGAGCTGCAGGCGGCGAAGGACTCCGCCGCCACTCTCGAAAAGACAGCATCCGACCTGCGGGCTGAGCACGGCGAAATTGTCGCCGCGCTCGAAGACAAGGTTTCGGAGCTGCAAGCGGCGAGCGACTCCTCCGCGGCTGCTCTCGGCCAAACCACCGCCGAGCTGCGAGCCGAGCACGACGCAACCGTCGCCGCCCTCGAGAAGACCGTGTCGGAGCTGCAGGAGGCGAAGGATTCCACCGCCGCCGCTCTCGAGGAAGCAGTCTCGGAAATGCAAGCAGAGCACAGCGAAACCGTCACCGCGCTCGAGGAGAAAATTTCGGAGCTGCAGGCGGCGAGCGAGGCGTCCGCGGCCGCTCTCGGCCAAACGACCGCCGAACTGCGAGCCGAGCACGACGAAACCGTCGGCGCCCTCAAGCAAACCGTGTCGGAGCTGCAGGAGGCGGAATCCACCGCCGCCGTCGCGCTAGAGAAGACAATGTCCGGCCTGCGGGTGGAGCACGGCGAAACTGTGACCGCGCTCGAAGAGAAGGTTTCGGAACTGCAGGCGGCGAAAGACTCCTCCGTGATCGCTCTCGGCCAAACGACCGCCGAGCTGCGAGCCGAGCACGACGAAACCGTCGCCGCCCTCGAGAAGGCAGTCTCGGAAATGCAAGCGGAGCACGGCGAAACTGTGACCGCGCTCGAGGAGAAGGTTTCGGAACTGCAGGCGGCGAAAGACTCCTCCGTGATCGCTCTCGGCCAAACGACCGCCGAGCTGCGAGCCGAGCACGACGAAACCGTCGCCGCCCTCGAGAAGACCGTGTCGGAGCTGCAACAGGCGAAATCCACCGCCGCCGCAGCGCTGGAGAAGACAATGTCCGACCTGCGGGCGGAGCACGGCGAAACCGTGACCGCGCTCGAAGAGAAGGTTTCGGAGCTGCAGGCGGCGAGCGGGGCGTCGGCAGTGGCTCTCGGCCAAACGACCGCCGAGCTGCGAGCCGAGCACGACGAAACCGTCGCCGCCCTCGAGAAGACCGTGTCGGAGCTGCAAGCGGCGAAAGATTCCGCAGCAGCCACTTTCGAGAAGACAATGGCAGAGCTGCAGACGGAACATGACCAAGTCGTTACCGCGCTCGAGGAGAAGCTTTCGGAGTCCCTGGAGCTGGCTGAGCAGGTCGGGGCCGACCAGGACGTTACCCTCGCGGCGCTCCGGGCCCAGATGGCTGCCTCCCACGCCGACGAGATCGCGGAGGTCAGGGCGCAGCTGTCGGAAGCCGAGCGGGCCGTCGAGGCGACGGAGGCTGCCTCGAAAGAGCTGTCGAAGGAATGCGAGGTGCGCTCGGCGGAGGTCGCCGAGGAGCTCGACGTTGCGCGTGGGCGCAAGGAGGACCTGGAGCGAGAGCTCACGGACAATATTGCGGCGGTGAGGCTGCTGTTCTTTTCGTCTCTGGCTCTTTGTGGAGCTTGATTTCCGAAGCGGACGCGCGAGGTGCTAGCTGGGACGGCTGCCTGTCGTTTGCAGAGGGTTTGTACGTCGTAGCGGAGCACAGCACCAGCGATATGTTTGTGCTTGTGCACTCGCTTAGAACTACATGGGACAGCGGCGTCTCTGTACGTAAATATGGAGGTTGATTCGCACTTCTACTCATTCCGGTTGATGTGTGCCTACCTGCGGAGAACCGTGTCGCCTTACAGCGCAGTCGAAGATTTGGCGTGTCTGTGACCATCGACTCACTTCGTACCATTCGAAGTTGTGGCGTGTGTACGGGCCTCCGCTCGAGCCCTATCTTTCTGACGAGATTATCATCGTTTCCTACCCCCCCCCCTCCCCGGTCGTGCATAACGCCATCAGGGCAAGGCTACGGAGGAGCAGCTCCGCCACCGCCTCACCTCCCAGGTAGCCGAGGCGGAGAACCTTCGCCAGGAGCTGATGGACACCCGCGAGAGGTCCGACCGCGCGGAAGCCGCAGTGCGTGCGTCCGACCAGCGCGCTAGGGAGAGCGCCGACGAGAAGACTAAGGGGCTGCTGGCCGAGATGGAAAACCTCTGCCAGGTAGGTGGCCGGGGCTATCGGCGGCGGGAGAAGGAGAGTGCAGTCGTGTAAACGCATGCCGTAGTCGCTTGACCATAGACCTCGCATGCCGGGACGGAGCGATATGCCGCCGGGTTTTCACCGACCCTGGCCACATTTCACAAGGATGGCCCAGAAAAGTTGACCATCATCATTGCGTTTGCCTCCGCGAGGGGTGGAGTGTTTTTGTGGTCGTGCCCGTTCTCTCTCGGTTAGTTTTTGTCGTTGTTTTGGCTGGAGACGCTGATCGGGAAACTGTAGGTGGTGGTGATTTGCGAGGAAAGATGCTCATGTGTGTCGTTGTTGTCGGCGTACATGCATGATAAGCCGCCTAGGGTCTCTCATGCTCTGCACGTAGGACATTCCATGTATGCGGGCAGTGCTGCACGTTTACAACGTCCTGACGCGTTAAAGGTCCAGTTTGTCTGTGGGTGCGAAAGAGGTGGACAAGGGTAGTACTTGTCTTGACTCATGCCCAAGGTTTTGTTCGTGTCTCCTTCGTACAGTAGTTGTCGTCGACAGCATCGCCGTTTCCGTTACGTTCGAAGGGGTGGAACAGGCCCCTGATCTCCGAAGATAGGCAGTGCTAAACCGGTACCCTTCGCACGTCCTCTGGCGGGCATCAGCGCTTACTTGTGCTCACATCGTCGGCTTGTTCCCTGTCTCAGGAGAAGCTGATCGCCGAGAATAAAGCTGGAGAGATGGAGGCTGAGCTCGGCCGACTGCGAGAGGCGGTCGCCACCGCTGAGCAGACGGCGGCTAAGGACCAGGGCATGCTCATACGTGCGGCGGAGGAACGCATGGCCGTCCTCGACCAGGTGGGGCAGTCGCCATGCTTTCATGTGTCGGTGGTGCAACCAATCTCTCCGACAGTGCCCGTCGTATTCGGCTTTCGGCACTACTGTTGTTGTTGGGGCACCCATACTGTACTAACGAACAAGGCTCCAGTTTATTCAGATATGTTGCTCCTTGCTCTTTTGAGAGTATCGGTACAAGCCGATGCACGTCTATTGCAGTCGGTCCCGCGGCTGGTTGCAAGCACTGCTTGCTGTCAACACCTTTATACGTGCTCGAGATGATCCACATCAATTGGGAGAGTTTTGTTCCAAGTCGACATTTTTTTCAAGTCTGCAAACAGGACCTCACCCAGGCTCTGCAAAGAGCAAAGGAGAGGTTGCGGTGTTGAAACAAAGAACACCGCGGTGAACTTGACCGTCGGAACGAGATACTGGCAAGCATCGAGGTCGTCTACTTCTTTTGTCATGTATAAGTTAAGTTGCTTCTTGTGTCCCGCGGGATCGCTATGCCGTCCGATGAATGACATTATATTACCCTAGCAAATCGTTGGTGTACACCCCGTTGTTTGTACCTGACCATACCGTCGTTTGTGGCGTTCTCCCACCCCTGTCCCTTTCGGTCTACATGGTGTCCTTGTCCTTGGTTGTGCATCCCTTGGTGGTACTACTCGGCTGTATCCACAGGCCGCCCAGGAAAAGGACATCGCTATCGCCAAGCTCCAGGCATCCCTGGATGCCGCTCACGCCTCGGCGGCAGCGGAGTCGGCTTCGAGCTCGGCGGCCGGTGTCGAGGAGGCGACGGCCGCCCTCAACGACAAGGTGGCCGCCCTCACGGCCGCCACGGGCGAGCAAAAGGAGACTATCGCGAGGCAGGACGCCCGCATCAAGAAGCTCGAGCAGGTGAGGCTGACGAACGGCCAGGTGGAGAAGCTCCAGGCGATGAAGGCCTCGGCCAGGAGGACGGCCGCGGAGAACACGGAGCTCAAGCAGCGGCTCTCGGTCCTCAAGGAGCGCCTGGAGGCCGCCGAAGGCGGCGTCGCCGGCGCCGGCGCCGGCGATGCGCCGTCGGGGGACGGGGAAGCCGCCACCGTCACCGCCGCCCTCGCGGCCGCCGCCGACCGCAACGCGGAGCTGCAGGCCGCCAAGGACACCCTTGTTGAGAAGCTCAAGGGGTACGGCAAGCGGGTCTACGAGCTCGAGAAGCAGCACACGCGGGTGCGCGCGGCGGTGGCCGAGCTCGGGGGCTCCGTGTCTGAAGGGGGGGACCTGGGGGACGCCGTCCTGGAGTGCGCCGGGCGATTCGCGGGGCGGGGCGGTGACATGTCGGTGATGAGCACGGGGTCCCACGATGAGGCGGCGGCGGCGGCGGCGGCGGTGGAGGAGCTCCAGCGGGAGCTGCGGGAGGTCCGCGAGGCGCTGCGGGTCGAGGAGGCCGGCCGGGCGCGCCTGAAGGAGCAGATGCTGGCCGGGGTGGCCAAGTTCAGGGCGCTCGAGGCTCAGGAGAAGTCGACACGGGAGCGGCTGGAGGAGGCGGCGGTGGGGCAGAGGGGCGCCGTGAGCGCCGCGCTCAAGACAAAGGAGAAGGACCACGAGCGCGAACTCAAGTTCTTAAAGGTTGGTTGATTTTTTTTTTTGTTTGGGTGTGTCGCGCGGCGTCGTGAGGGAATGGGTGTAACCTTTTTTTTTGTGCGTTGTGTCGTGCGTCGTATGGGGGGATGAATATTGGCCTATTTTTTGCCGTTTGCGATCCGCAGTAATTTTTCGTCGCGTGTACGTATGCATAGATAGCGTACCGTTGGGGGCTCGAACGATGGGTAGCAAAAGGTTTATTCATTGGACATATTGAAGCCGAAAATCAAACCAACAGGCCAGTCAACCCCCAGGATGTTTCTTTTCCAGGGAAATTTCTGGTGCCAGCTGTTCACCCTGTGTGATCAACCGTTGGTTGGGCAGGCGTGACGATTCGGGGGATGTATTCGTATGCATATCGACCAGCAACTCCCTAGTGTTTAGCGCAGGCAGTGTTGTGTGTGTGTGTGTGTGTGTGTGTGTGTGTGTTCAGTGCGTTTCGTCATCGCCACAGTCAGCCAAGACATGATCAACACCAGCGCAAACTAACCAGGTATGTACTGCTGATGATGTTAGTCAGTCGACATCATTGAACGGAAGTTGATGCCTCCGTTTGTCACTTTTCGTCGGCAGGAGGAGAACGTGCAGCTGTTCAAGGAGATCGGTGAATGGAAGTCCAAGGCCGACAAGCTCACTGCCGAGCTTGAGACCCTCCAGGAGAAGCTTGCCGCCGCCAAGACAGCGCAGCAAGCATCCCCCTCGATGGTATGCTATTTAAAGTACATTTTTTTGCTTTTATCATTGTTGTTGTTTACATTTCTTGCAGTTGGCGTTTCGACTTGTCCTCCAGAAATACAAAAAGTAATATGCATAAGTTAAAGAACACACCCTACTTCGTTTGGGACGTCATCGCTTGTTATATACTTCGTTCTAGGTTGTGGCTGTACCTTTTTTCCGTGCCGCACGACCTCCGGCGGGGTACATGTGGTGAATGCACGAGTGACAAACGTACAACGATGTGCTTGGTTTTGTCGCGGCTTGCAGCAGGGGTTCGTTTGCAGGCGGTGCAGCAACGGCCGCTTTGTGATTTGGGGTGATGTGCGTTGCTGTGTGTAGTTAATGAGCGTCCGCGGATAGGTAAATTAGATGTAGATTTTTCGATTGGGTGCACTTTTCGGCGGCTATTGTAGGGGGGAGGTCGTCTGGCTATTTTTGTTGCTTGCCGGGAAGCGCGCTTGAGCCCCGACAACCCGCGGCTTGGAGCAGCAGTAACCCCGCCATTGATCCTTTGTGGTTAACGATAACCGGTGTTTTCACGCCTGCCTGGAACAACCTGTTTGTGTTCTCGGAATTTCCCTGACGTGATTGGCTATCGCTCCCCCCCTCCCCGGCTGTGAGTACGTTTCTCGCATCCCCTATTTTAGTATCACGGTCCCTACTGCCGCCTTCTCTCTACAGTTGCCGTATACGTATCTCGCATTCCCCAGCATCTACTGCCACCTCTTCTCCAGTGCCGTACGCTGGCAAACGCGCCCTTCCCCCCCCCCCCCCCCCTCCCCTTGGTGTTTGCCATCGGGATTGGGTTTTCGTCGCTTGGCACCGACGTTGTAAAACAAGCCAATTCACTTCGTGAACTCGGCAACCCAGGTTACCGTTTTTTTTTTTTACCTCGTTTTTTTTTTCTGGCGGTAACCATAATGGTGGTCGAGTAGATCATGTTGTGCGGGGTGGAGAACCCTCACTCCGCGCAAGGGGGATGATCGCACCACGTTGTGTTAAAATGGTCAAGCACCCTCGAGGCAGTTACACAGTGCTTATAACTGTCTCTGGAAGTGAAAGCACCAGAAAATAAACTAAGTCATACGTAGCTGTCATCCGTACGCAAGGAAGTAAGCACAAGATGCCGAACACGCTTAGCAGGATGCAGCTCACCCTTCATGCGACTCGCCGAATACCTCACGGTGCTTCGCGCTTAGTGATGTGAGAGCCTGGTCCGGTGAGAACCCGGCGTGCTCCGTCCCGGCTTTGTAGGAATGCGAGGTCAATGGTCTAATGACTACGCCAGCCAAGATTAGGGGTCCCCCCCCCCCCCCCCACGCCCCACGCCCCACGCCCCACTTACTTGTGTCATTCCTTTTTTTTGCGAACCTTCAGAGCAAGAAGCGGGCCCTCGGCGACAGGACCAACAACACTCCCGCCAAGGCAACGGCAACGGCGGCGGTTGCCGGCAAGCTGGGGGCCGCCACCAGCACCACCGCGGGGGGCGTGCAGCCGGCCGCCGCCGCCGAGCGCCGCGCGGCATCCCGCGCCTTGCTCGACGGGGAAGGGCCCATCAACGACGAGGGGGCGGGGGAGTGCAATCAGTCCTGAGTCCGTTGCGCCGCCAGGTGGAGGGGGGTGATGAGATTTGAATTTGTTGCGTCTGATACCTACACGGAGCACGCACACAGCTCGCGGCAGAAGCACCGGCCTCTGCTAGGGTAGCTACTGTATCTACACGGCACACGGCGGAAGCACCGGCCTCAGCGTGGCAGCGGTCTTGTTGTTGCTCAGACAGGAGTTGCACAGGCAGGGAGAGGCGGGTAAAACGCTCAAAAATAATGCACGGCCGTAGTAGTGCTAGCCTGACATCTCGTACCACACGGCGGTCAGGACGGTTCACGCTGAGTCTTGCCGGGTGCGGAGTTTTGGAAGAAACTCTTTCCGAAACATGAAAACGAGTCAGCTTGACCTGATCGTACCGAGAGAGAGGCAAACCGGCGGGTATGTGGCAGTACGTCGGCAATCGCCCCCATGGAACAGCGGTGGTGGGGATTGAAAAGGGCAAGGTTTGGAGGAAGAATTGGAAAGGGTCAGGGGTTGTGTATTCACGGACATTAATATATGACGTTCACAGGCTTGCTTGTTGTAGGACCCCCGTTTTGCTTGGTATTTTCTTCGGCGAAACTCAACCCGTTGTACAATAGGTAACATGTTTCGCAGTCGTTTTTTTGTTCTTAATAATTCTCTTGTGTTTTTTAATTGCGTCGTAAGGCCTGGTTACGGCTATGGTGCACGTCCTGTCCAGTAGGGCCGATGGAGATGTTCCGGTGTCTTTGCGGTCAGGTGCGTAGCTAGTTCCATGGCGAATACTTGTTTATGTCGTGCACTAACGATCTACACGGTAATCAGCAATTTCATGATCGCACGCAATGGTTGTCGTAGGCAGTGTTGAACGGGGGTTCATAAATAAATATCACGCTCTAGACTAACCGGGGGTTATGAGTGATGCGGCACAGACAGTTGATGGTAGGTGCGTTGCTTGCTTGCTTTCGTGTATAGTACAAGTATTGAAGATGGGGGATTGGTTGCAAGGTGTTGAATGAGCTCGGTCACCTTGGAGGGGGCTCCGGCGAATATCACAATAGCCCGCGGTTGGTTGCATTCCCTTACAAAATAATATTCACAATATTGAGATGCGATGATCACCTTTCCCGTAGCAACTTCCAGGATATCCCTCCAAGTGCCTTCGCATGGAAAGGCGGGTACTCTTCTCAGTATAAAAACAAAATCTAATATTATTAAGTACGTACGTGTTTCCCTTTCAACTTTTCTAGCTATGCCATTGCAAGGGTGATGTTGGACGAGCCTTGTTCATGTGAATTAATGTGAACTGGTGTGGATTGTTCCCGCTTTGGATTCGACTCCTTTTGTGCCCATGAAGTGCAGGCAGATATCGCCCGCTGCCCGCTGGACAGGTATGATTACATACAATGAACACCGCGTTCAGAATTCTCTTTTTCTCCCTTGTTTTAGGTAGACGAAAACTCTACACCACCAACCGCGACGCACACCGAATCACAGCAGCAGCAGCATCATCACACATAATCGTAATCTACACACCCAACAGATCCTGTACTTTATATATTCCGCTCAGAGATCTTTAGCCGACAGGCTCGATCAATCAAAAGCGGTCGCCGCCGCGGGCCTCTACTCGTCGCAGCACTTAGAACCCGAAAAGGTGCCTTTAAAACACGACAGTCAAGTCACTCGAGGGGCTGGCATGCGCAAGCAAGCAGGGAATAGGCAACAAACACACCACATCACGAGAAGCTACAAAAACATCAAGGGGGCTACAAAAAAACTAACTCTCCATATGCATGGTCGTTGTGTACACTATCTATACGCGTCGCCGCTTCAGAACCTCTTTGTTTCGCCCAAGTACCAAGTTACGATATGTTTTTTTTCTTACCTATGACGCAACAAATTCAGCTCCTCCACAGACAATAAAAGTCTGGGATAGATTAGCAACGACTCCATCGCAGCTGTCTCTAACTCCCTCTACGAGGTACACCTGCTTTTGTGATCTCACGTCCTTCCATGTCCCTCTTTCATTTTTATTAGCCTGGAGTTCTGGACCAGCTCCCAGGGTTCTGAAGCGCTGGCGGGTGCTGCAACACCCCTGCTGGCCAGCCAACAACGGCCTAAACTATTTACCTGCCGCTTTCCGTAAACTCGCGCTTGGAATGCACGATGGGGGATCGCAACTACTACGCATGCCTTACTGGGGGTGTAGACCGACACACGGGGAGAGAGAGAGGGGGGAAGATTACTACGTCACAGGACGCGGTGGTACGGGGGGGGGGACTTTGCGGCCATTGACTGGCGAACATTGTCTCGACCCATTGATTTTTCCGCTGCTAGCTGGCGGGGGCGTCGCTGTGCTTGTGTTTGTGGGGCTCGTGCTTGGAGCACCGTTCCCAGAACCGTTCCACGAACGGGGACCAGCCCCAGCCCCCCCGCCGTTTATCACCATCATCCGTTCCAGCTGTTCGACCTTCGCGCGGAGGTCGGCGTTCTCGCGCTTGAGGGACAGGATCTCTCTGGAACGGGCGTCCATGTGAACGACCATCTTGTTCTTTACCTGCAAGAAGAGTATTTACCAGAGATCGAAGGGGGGGCGTGGAGGACCGGGGGTGGGGGGTAGGGGGGGGTGTACTCATAGTCGTGCATGCCGTGTAGTCGTTAGACCATTGACCTCGCATCCCTACAAAGCCGTGAAGGAGCAGGGGGGGGGGGCGGGGGGGGGGTTACTGGAGCTCGATCGATCGCTGGGGTGTGCAGAGATCGCGGGTGGGCCGCGGGGAAGGCCACTATTTGTACTCCTCTGCTCGACCGCACTGTACGTTGTGTCCACGCTCGAGCACTCTGGTTGAGACGCTCTTCCTCTTCCTCCTCCTCCTCCTGCCACTGTTGGCAACGTGTGAACAAACGAGCTAGGAAGAGGGTCGTGGAGAGCATCTACGGGTCGCGGCTATTCGCTCCCCTTAAGAACTAAGAACCAAGCCGATTCCATGGGCGTTTAGCTAGATGCCGCACACGATCGACGGCCTAAAACAAGACGAGTTCGCAACAACGAGAACAATCGGTGCGAGCGACCAGTCTTTGACACGATCGCACCAAACTTTGGACGCCCCTTGCGCGAAGGATCTGCTCTCTGTCTCTCGTGACAAGGACAGCCTCATTGTTGCGTGCGTGGTAGATAAGGGGGAGACAGATAGATATATAGGTCTATACGAAGTATATTTAGACGAATGAACAAGAAGAAGGCGATGGGCGGACCAGCAAAGAAGAACCAAAACAAAGCCCACCGGTCGGTCCGCTCACGGGAATGCAAGGCAAAAGACGCACCTTCTTGAGCCGCTCGGCGAAGCGGAGAGTGCTCAGCGTCTCCGGCTCGCTGGCCTCGATGGGACTCACGTTGCAGCACACCACGGTGTAGGCGGTTCCCCCGAGGGAATCCTGCGGAGGTGGACGACAGAGAAGGAGTAGATGCGTTTCAGTGATTTTTCGGGTTTTCTCATTCAGCTAGCGCCCGCACTTCAAAAAACAAATTGGCGCACTCAAGAACCTGGGAGCTAAGAAACCCAGGCTCCAAACATAAGAACTTTGATAACTTGGCCATAAGAACACGTGCTCAGTCAAGAAGTCTACACTGAAACCTATATAGTCGCTGGTGGGGTACATAATAGAGGATAAAAGAAACGAGCCTCGGCGTTCTTGAGTGCGGGCGCCAACTGTGTTACTAGCATCGACAGCGCCAACTAACAGGCTGGCCAATGAAAAGACGTCGGTCTCGGTGCGGTTGAACACGCGAAATGCTTCGAAAAGGCCATGATCTGTCTGGGGCCCCCGTGAGGGGGCGTCACTGAGGAGCCTATGCTACTCTCCGGATTAAATAAAGCGAATATTTCAGATGGATCCTACCAAAGGGGGGAGGAGTCTGAAATTGGTGTTTATTGGAGTTGATAGAAGAAGTGGGCATTTATATTATATGGCAAAGAGTATGTCTGCGTGCTTGCAGGAGAGGAGGCATGCGCGCCGAGATAAGGAAGCTGCTCGCAGGAGATTCCGTTTGCGCCCGATCACGTTGAAGCATCAGCAGTGCTGGAGCACAGGGACTGCTAGACGTACGATTGGACAACACTGCCAGCTGCTGGTTTAGGACATTCTGTTCCGGGAGCTAGTGTTGTCGTCTTCCCACCCACGCCACCCTCGATTTTTCCGAAAGAGGGGGGGGG